TTAAAAAAAGGGTTCACAGCATTAGGAAGGTTGAGAACCACTGATCTATGTGAAAGAGGCACATCGATTGGTTGCCTCCTGTACACGCCCTCCCCAAGCGGAGGATCAAGCCTGGAACTGACGTACATGCCCTTGACTGGATTTTAAACTAATGTATATATTTGGTCCTGTGAGGTTTTCTAAAAGGGGGTTAATTGGAAGGTCACACTTTGAGCCAAACTGACTAGGGCTCATGCTGAATTTTAAAAGCATCTGACCCTATAGATCATCTATAAAATGTGAAAAGTGTTAAGTGTTCTTTATTTGATATTATACAGAAATAACACTGAAATGCCTTTTATTAAGTAAAAGGCGACTCTCTAGATAAAGGCAACAGTTTAGATAGGGAATTTTAATTGAATTGGCATAGTTAGGACCAAAATGATAAAATGGACCCTGCCAGCATATCTTGCTAATGAGCACAACTTGAAATACAAGCAAGTCTTGCTGGTCTAAGAAATAGAAAAGGGATTTCCTCAGTATTTAAACATATTAATACACCAGTTGTATAAATCTAAGTATAGAACCAATCCCCTACAGGGTTTTTGATGGCATTCACCATCTCTGTGAAAAGTTAAACATTATGAATCAAGGCCAATCATATTTTTAGAAGGGGAAAACAATGATAGCACTTGCTGAACCAAAATGCTGATTATATTAATTTAACCACATGCCAATCTTATTTAAATCAGAACTGCCCAAAAGAAATGTTTTCCCAGCTGTTCATGATCTGATTTCTGGTGTATGAGATCAATTTAAATATGGTACAAATAAAAAATGTCCTAAGACGTTTGTTGGAATAAGGCAGTAGCCACCTATTACTCATTAGTAGCTTTTTTTGAGATAAGCTACCAAGTCTGCCCTTTCTGCGCTCCTCTTAATGCCAGCGAAGATCATTTTTTGTTCCAGGGATATACTTCTTGGGATTCTCCATATACTCCGTCTCTCCCCAGGTGATGCCTTTGTTCTTATTGGCAGAAAATTTAGGGATCCGACCTTTCTTCACCCAAGTAGACCTTGGAGACTTGGCCCGGTCTTGTGCTTGCCTCCTTTTCCCATAGTATGGCACCAGGCACACTTTTGAACAAAAATCTTCTTGCCCTTCTCAACATCATTCATTTTTAAATTGCTCTTTGGTCGCATGTTACACAGAGGTTCCCACTCACCAAGCCAGACGTCCTGCTTTCTAAGTCCAAGGACATGCCCATCTGCGCCTACGTATCCTATTGGTGCAACTGAACTTGCTCCCATTTTTCCTCTATTTTTAGATCATTCCCACTAGCCCACAATATTTTCTCCCATCTTAAAAAAAAAAGACCTCTCTCTACTTCCTTCTCCAGACACTGCCTCATTTCCCCCCACCCCTTACAGCAAAAACACTTTTAAGATGTCTATATAAAATGTCTCAATTTTTTCTTTTTGTCTGGAACACACTTTAATCAGGTTTTCAGCTCTATTGTTGCTGATCAGTTTCATCAGTCCTTTATTTGATTAAGATTGTTGATCACTCTCTTCATGAAATGTTTCTTCGCTTGGCTTGTAGGACACCTTACTTGCCTGGTTTTCATCCTACTTCTGTAGTTGCTTTATTTTGGTTTTATGACCTCTCCCATCTCTTTGGCAAATCCTGTTGGACATACAGAATATAACCACTTATTACACTCTGCATTGCCTCTACATTGATCCAAGCCAACACTAGCTCTTGCTGGATTATAACAGTAGTTTCCTGACTGGTCTTTCTGCTTCCACTGTCTTTTCCCTTTGGTCTTATCTCAGTAAAACAGCCAAAGTGATACTATTGAAATATGTCACATCTTACACTCTTCCATTTTGAATTCTTCAATGGCTTTTCTTCTCAGAGTAAAGAAAAGCCAAATTCCTTACAAATGACCCATGAGGCCTCCCATAATTTGACTCCCCTCCCCATACCCTGCTAATTATCTTACTTCGTCTTCCACTCCTTTTCCTTTTTTTCTACCCACACTGACCTCCTTGCTGTTCCTCAAACATACTGGCATGCTTTTACATCAGAGCATTTGTGCTTGCTGATCTTTCTACCTAGATTGTTCTTCCTTTTGATATTTCCATAGTTGGCTCCATTCTTTCAGGTTTTGACCCATATGTTACCTTCTCAATATGTATTCCGTAGCCCTTTCCTTTCATATTTTCTAACCCCTTTTCTGCTGTATTGTTTTCCTTAGTACCTACCACTATTTAGTATACCATATATTTGACTGACTTTCTCTTGTTTATTGTCATTTGTCCTTACAAGAATATAAGCTCTGTGATGGTCAGGATTTTTGTTTATTTTGTTCACTTATTTATCCCTAGTGTATACAAAGGTCCAGGCACGTAGTAATCCTCAATAGGTAATTGTTGAATGAATGCATATAGTATTGAATGCTTAATATTTGCTATTTTTTTTATAAAATAAGTGACAGCAAAACCCAAAGGTTAATTAAGAGAAGAGTTAGTTAAAAAGATAAAATAT